CACTACCAGCAGCACAACCCACCACCACCACAAAACACCACACCACCACCACCACCGCGACCACCACCACCACCACCAGCACCACCTCCACAAACCACCGCCACCACCACAACCCACCACCACCACCACAAACCACCACCAGACCACCACCACCACAAACCACCTCCACACCACCACCACACCACCACCACCACCCACCACCACAACCACCACCATCACAACAACAAACCACCACACCACCACCACCACCGCAACCACCACTACCACAACCCACCACCACCACCACCACCACCACCGTCGACGCTCCCCGCCGCCGCCGCCCGCCGCCGCAGGCGCCGGCGGTGGCCCAGAAAAGGAAATCGTCGTCCCCGCCGCCGCCGCCGCCAGCCGAGGAGAGGGAGACAGGAGAGGGAGGGGGGAGGGGGGGGTTCGACCCCCCCCCCTCCGTCACGGGAAGGGTGGGGGTTCGACCCCCCCCCTCCAAGCGACCACAGAACGCGCTCCTTCCAACAAAAACAACAACAATCAACATCATCAACAACAACAACAACAACAACAACAACACCAACAACAACAACAACACCAACACCAACAACAACAACAACACCAACAACAACAACAACAACAACATCAGCAGCAGCAGCAGCAACAACCACCATGACCACCACCACCACCACCACCACAACAACAACAACTGTAACAACAACAACAACAACAACAACAACAACAACAGCAACAACAACAACAACAACAACAACAACAATCATTTTACCCGAACGCGTGGTGTTCTCCCCAGTGCCAGGGTTTTCATACGACACCAGGCAATACCCCCACTTCGTGGGGGGGCATTACAAGCTCTACCAAATATCCAAACGACTCTTCGCGACCACCCAAACCCAGCTTCCCGCCCTATGACGTTGGGACACTTCACTTCGTGGCGTGCGGACGACCGTGGCTACTACACTCAGGGTACACACCCACGGCCGACGACGACGGCGTGCGCGCGCGAAGAAAAAACGAATGTGTCCCGCATGGTATTATTTGACAGGGATGATGGCCCTGGCAGGTGCGCAACCGTTGTCGCAGAAGTTCGAAAAAGTTGCTCGCAAAAGCCCGTTTGACAGAAATGTTTAAAAAGTGTTGGGTTTCCTACGAATCCGCAAGAGCGCGCGGGATGAGATTTTGACAATTTTTTGTTGAAAAACCATTGGTTTTTTGATGTTTTTATGTTAAAATCGCTCCGAACACTAAGTTTTGGAAGGATTTCGTCTTGCGCGCGCGAATGTCCACTTTACCTTATTTTTTGCAAGGGATTCTTGAAATTTGATTATATTAGAACAAGAAATGTCATTTTATAGTGTTTTTTGCAAGGGAAACGGGGGGGAACAAAACAACCGGATCTTGATGACATCGTATTACCTGAGGCTTCCTCACGAAAATGATGAAAATGTAGCTGCGGCCTAGGCGGCGCAGGGGGGCCGTGCACCAGGGGTCCCAACAATAATTATTCTTTAGAATTAATAATGTTCAACACCAACAACAAGAATGAGGAAGGCCAAAGCGATAGCACAATCCCCAAATAAATCGCAATAAAGGCCCAAGGGAGAGCGAGATTCCTGAGTGTCGAGGGCGCGGCGTCTGAAAGATTGCAAAGAAGTCCAACGCAAGAGCGCGATCCCTGCGTAAACTGAGTGGAAGTCCTGCGCGAGAGCTCGATGCTGGAATGAAATGTGAGGAAGTATCGGGCGGGAACCGATGTTGTTGTAGCCGGGGTGCCAACAACACACTTTGAGCAGCACGGCGTTCCCTGCTACAAAAAAAGGGTGCGAGCCCTGAGGGGGGCGCTTCAATTGACAATTGAAAAACACAATATGCACCCGTGGGGGTGATGAACAATAGCTATGTTTCAAGAATCAAGGTACAACAACAACAGCAACAATCATTTGAATAATGATCGCTCTTATCTGCTCGCGTGACACTCAGCACGAATATCCCAAACCCTGGATACCCGCCCTTTTCGTCATCGAACAAACCCCATAGGGGTAAATCTTTCTTGTTATCTGCAACGTGTATTTCGTGCAGCCCCTGAAGCAGGCGGGTTGCTGCAGCGTGCGTCCCGCATGAATGGCAAGGTCTCGAGCGATAGCACGATTCCCAAGTAAATCGAATGGGCGCAGCGAAAACGCGATTTCTGAGTATCGGAGAGAGCGATCCACCGCCGCACGACCTTTTCTCCAAGCTGCTGGACCCCCCCCCCCCCCTCCCCCGGCAAAACCCCCCCCTCCCCTAACCCCTCCCCCCCCCCCCTCCCCCTCGAAAACCGGGGGCGGTCACTACCGGTTCGAACCCCTCCCCCCCCCGCCCCTCCGGATTCGGAAAACCCGGGGGTCACTGTTCACTACCGTTCGAACCCCCCCCCCACCCCCCCCCCCCCCCCCTCCCTCCCCCCCCCCCCCCCCCCCCCTACTCACCGCCAGCAAACGACTCCCGGTCCCCACCACCGTCCGCATCACATCCCCCACTGGTGTTCCCAGCACCACTGTCCTCACCACCGCTGTCCCCACTGGTTCCACCACCGCCCCTACTGTCCCCACCAGTGGCCCCACCACTGTCGCACTGTCCCCGCTGTCCCCAAAACTGTTCCCACCACGGTTCCACTCTCCCCACTGTCTCCACGGCCCCAACCACTGCCCGACTATCCCCACTGTCCCCACTGTCCCACTGACTCCTCCGCTGTCCCACTGAGCTGTCCCACTGTTCCCACCACTGTCCCCACTGTCCCCACCACTGTCCCCACTGTACCTCTGTCCCATTGTCCCACCGCCGTCCTCGCCACCGCCTTCACCACTGTCCCCACCACCATTGTACCCTCCACTGTCCCACTGTTTCCACCTCATTCCCATTGTCCCCACACCACTGTCCCCACCACCACCGTCACCACCACTGTCCACTGTCCCCCCCTGTTCCCACCATTGTCCCCACCACTGTCCCCACCACTACCGTCCCCACCACTGTCCCACTGTCCCACTGTCCCCACCACTGTCCCGCTATCCCCTCACCACTGTCCCCACCAACACCGTCCCCACCACTGTCCGCACCCCCACTCGGTTTTCGAGGGGAGGGGGGGGGTTCGAACCGGTAGTGACCCCCCCCCGGTTTTCCGGATCCAGAGGGGGAGAAGGGGGGGAGGGGTTCGAACCGGTAGTGACCCCCCCCCCTTTTCATGATGAGCAGGGGGGGAGGGGGGGGGGGGGGGGTTCGAACCGGTAGTGACCCCCCCCCGTTTTCCGGAGGGGGGGGGGGGGGAGGGGTTCGAACCGGTAGTGACCCCCCCCCGGTTTTCCGCCAGCAGCGGTAGAACACGCTCTTTCGAGTATCGGGGGCGCGGCGTCTGAATAAAATGCGCGGAAATCCCGCGCGAGAACACGACTCTGGGGCACAAATTGTGAGGAAATCCCGCGCGAGAGCGCGATTTGGGAATACGTTGTGAGGAAGTATCAAGCGGGAGCCGTTGTTGTTGCTGTTGATGTTGATGCTGTTGAACATTATTAATTCTAAAGAATAATTATTGTTGGGACCCCTGGTGCACGGCCCCCCTGCGCCGCCTAGGCCGCAGCTACATTTTCATCATTTTCGTGAGGAAGCCTCAGGTAATTCGATGTGATCAAGATCCGGTTGTTTTGTTCCCCCCCGCTTTCCCTTGCAAAAAACACTATAAAATGACATTTCTTGTTCTAATATAATCAAATTTCAAGAATCCTTTGCAAAAAATAAGGTAAAGTGGACATTCGCGCGCGCAAGACGAAATCCTTCCAAAAGCTTAGTGTTCGGAGCGATTTCAACATAAAAACATCAAAAAACCAATGGTTTTTCAACAAAAAAATGTCAAAATCTCATCCCGCGCGCTCTTGCGGATTCGTAGGAAACCCAACACTTTTTAAACATTTCTGTCAAACGGGCTTTTGCGAGCAACTTTTTCGAACTTCTGCGACAACGGTTGCGCACCTGCCAGGGCCATCATCCCTGTCAAATAATACCATGCGGGACACATTCGTTTTTTCTTCGCGCGCGCACGCCGAAATCTCCAAAAACCATTGGGCTTCTTAAGAATTTTAGCACCGCGCATCATAAAATCACACGAATCGCACCGTAGGTCCTCGAAAAACACCTGCACGACTTTTCAAAATTTCTACCCGCGCGCGCTGTACTCCACGCCAGTGTAGTAGCCACGGTCGTCCGCAGGCCACGAAGTGAAGTGTCCGAACGTCATAGGGCGGGAAGCTGGGTGTGGGTGGTGGCGAAGAGTCGTGTGGATATTTGGTAGAGCTTGCACTGCCCCCCCACAAAGTGGGGGTATTGGCTGGCGTCGCATGAAAACCCTGGCACTGGTGAGAACACTGAGCGTTCGGGTAAAGTGATTGCTGTTGTTGTTGTTGTTGTTGTTGTAAACCGGGGGCCAGGGGCCCACGTGGTGACACCCGATTTCCCTGAGAAAAAGGGTGCGAGCCCCGGGAGGAACACTTGAATTTTAAAACGTACATTTGTTACCGGGCAGGGGGGATCAAAAGCAGCTGTCATTTTGAAATAGAAGATTCAACAATCTTTTCAAGACACTTCGTTCCGATCTGCTCGCGTGCCATTTATCGCGTTTACCCCAAACCCTCGGTACCCAACCCCTTCGACTCCTTTCGAGAAAACACATGTCTTCCTGGGTTCTCTCACGAGTTGAGTCCTTGCACGCATGCATCGGCCCGTCTGTCATTCGAAGGCCAAAAACAAGCAAGGTCAGGTGCGCACGGAAAACCCGAGAAGCACCCTCACTGTTCGCCGTCCTCCTCCTCATCGAACTCGCCCTCCTCCTCCGCCGTGGCATCCTGGTACTGCTGGTACTCCGAGACAAGGTCGTTCATATTGCTCTCTGCCTCGGTGAACTCCATCTCGTCCATGCCCTCGCCGGTGTACCAGTGCAGGAAGGCCTTGCGCTGGAACATCGCCGTGAACTATTCTGCTACGCGCTTAAACATTTCCTGAATGGCTGTCGTAACGAAATTGAGGCACATCCCCTGGAACCAACGCGAGCACCGAACTACAGTAAACTGATAAGCACAGAAGCTCAAGCGGATAAAGAACAGGTTCAGCACCCGGGTGCACTCAAAGCCCCGATTGACACTCAGGAGCGCCTTTCCACTGCTACGGCTGCCGTGCGCTGCCGCTTCCTGGGCCGCTCGCCGCGGCCACGTCCCCCACCGCCTCCAGCCCCCCTCCTTACCTTGGGCACTGGCGCGCCGGGTCTTCCTGCAGGCCCTCGCCGGGCGACCTCCTCCTCCTGCGAAGGCAACTGCCATCTTGAGGCCCTGTGGGGGGATGTCGCACACAGAGGCCTTGATGTTGTTAGGAATCCACTCCACAAAGTAGGAAGAACTTTTGTTCTGCACATTAAGCATCTGTTCATCGACCTCCTTGGTGGACATGCGACCACGGAACAGGGCCGCCGCGGTCAGGTAGCGGCCATGGCGAAGGTCAGCTGCACACATCATATTTTTGGCATCGAGGGGCAGCTCGCTCGGCGAGCTGGCAAGCGCCAGGGGGGTCACGAGGCGGCAGCGGCACCCGTGAGGCGGCTGTCGGGAGTGGGGCCGGAGCCCCCAGTGGCCCCGAGGGGCCCGGCACAGCCGCCTCTGGCGCCGTGGCGCCCGCCCCCAACGCCAGAGCAGCACTGCGTAGGCAACCGCCGGCAGCACCACCATGCCAACGTACCACTGTGACGAAGCAGTCTGTCACCTTTATGTTACAAATTGGGCAAGAAATCCAAATTGACTACGAACAAATTCAATGCCAAGATGCTCCGCAGGGTAATATCAAAACAAGGATGCCGCCACGCAGTGTCTTTGGGATGCCGCCACACAGGATTCGCGACGCTCTCATAGGCAGAGCCCGCAAGCTACCCGTCGCTTCGGGCACTGTGTGATATGACACGGTAAGGCCTTCATAGTCTCATACTTGGTGCGATCATACTTGCACTCGTAGGGGAGCGCCTGGTAGACCTGGTCGTCGTAACGCTGCCGGCATTTACGCTACAACGAGCCTGCCCACACATCCCATGGAGCACTCTTGCAGAGGTACCGGTGCTCACCCAGAGATGGCTTCCCAACCTTGCCACAATACTTGCACACTTCTGCACTCCAAGTGGCCTTCCTGACACTGGCGGGACGTTTCCTCACATACACCGCTGGCGCAGAAGTCGACGATCGCTTCCGCTTCCGAGAAGGCCCGGCAGCGTCCCGAGGCTGTGCATCACGTCTCCGGTCGCGTGCAATGTCTGGAGGCGTAATGATGTCGATACTGCCCGCCGCCCTGGCATCGGGCACTGCAACAGCGTGTCCTCCACCTCCACCTTCCACACCTCCGACCCCACTATCTCCATCACCCCGTTTTGAACGAATGCGAAAACGCGGCCTCCCAGGAACGATAATATCGGCACCATATCCTCCTCCACCTCCGCCTCCATCACCACTACCACCATCTCCTCCTCCACCTCCGCCTCCAGCAGCTCCACCACCCCGTTTGGAACGAATTCGACAACGTGACCTCCCAGTAACAAAACTAGCAGCACCAACTGTAACCGAAGCAGTAGTAACCGTGATCGTCGCACTAACTCGTGGAACTTCCGCGGCGCGCCGTTTCGAGCGAATGCGGAAACGTGGCCTCCCAGTAGCATGACTCGCAACACCAGCGGGATCTGGAGCTCGAGGCATGCGCGCGGCCAGGTTGCGTTCGAGCCTGGCTGCGCGACGCTTGTCCACGGGTCTCTTCCTCGGCTTCCTGCCTCCAACGCATGCCACGCGATGTTGACGTAAGGAATTGGCCCGAACGAAGCAAAGACACTTATCACACTGCACCCGCTTAATACGTATAGGGTTCCCATTGCACTTGTTCACATGGCCCTTGTAACCATCGGGCGTAGACGGATCCCGCACTTCGGGCACTCCAGGAACGAGACAGAGCGGCCATACAGCGAGGCCCGCTGCGTGGTCGTGGCAGGCTGCGCGTACTCGTAGCTCTTGGTGCGTCTTCCTTTGTCGTCCTTTGGCGCCTCGTGTTTCTCTTTGTCTCGTGCGAGGGCCGCCGCCCGCGTGTCAGCCAAAACCTGCTCTGACCGAGAGCGCCGCCAGGTTCCCTTGCACGACCCCTTGAAAGCACAGGTGGTCCAGACGGCCACGGCATCAGCATCGTTCGTGCACTCTGGCTGCAACATGGCACGCAGAAGTGTCATGTAGTAGTCCCGCAGATTGGTTCTGCTAGTACAGGATTTGGCCTCCACGTCGTCGAGACATTCAAATTTAGCTCCCAACATTCGCCGCTCAAGACGTTCATCGCTGTATCTGCCGAGATGTCCTAGGTATTGGATGGTCTTCAAAGCAATATACTCCTCCGCGGCTCGCACGCCACACCACTCGTAAAGGTTAAACATCATGTACTTCCCTTCCATCTCACGTAACGTGGTCTTGTGGACAGACCAGACTATAGCCTTGATAACCTTGTTCATGCACACCTGGTAACGCTGTCGCTCGGCATATGTAAATGGTCGTACTTCGGCTGCGTAGAAGAGTGCGGCGAAAACAACAGCTTCAACAATACGACCTTTGAGCTTGAGATCAATTTTCATCTTCACCAATGGCTTACGAATACCGCCCCATGCCTTGGCCGCCGCCGCAATGCGTTTGCTGGTGTCGGTCCGGGTGCCACCGTCCATATCCACCCAGCCTCCAAGCAACTTCGCAGCGTTCAGTAACTCATCCTGCAATGAATCTTTGTCTTGCCAAACACCTGGGCGCATGAACTCGTCCTTGTCGGGGTGAACCAGGTCGCAATGATCACCTAAGATAGCGCGGGCCATCTGGATAACTTCCCTCCTGTTCCTGTAAAGACCGATCGTCGTGATGTCATCTGGAAATCCAAGACAAGAGAGCTCGAAAGAAACGGGGCCAGTACTCAAAGCAATACTGTCACCCTGTGCCTGCCTAGCGGCGTCGGTGCGCCGACGCTTCGGCCAAGTCTGCACCGTGCGACACCGTAACGTACCCTCTGACTTGAAACCGACGCCCATCACGTGCTGCTCAATGGACCTCAGTGGCAAATTGTGGTGAACATTATAAAGATATGGAGAAGAAGGGCATCCTTCCCGCAACCCGCATTTCAAGTCATACACCTGCGAATCACCATCAGGCATTCTAACGACGTATCGCGTATCCCCGTGGAGCCTCCGGAAGATGGAGACCATGCGGTCGGGAACACCTAGCCGGCCGAAGTTCTTCCACAAGCTCTCCCGTGCCACACTCGGAAATGCCTTCTGGATGTCAGCTAAATATACAAACGGGCGAACCGCCTCAAGCTCGCGCTCGAGCTCGCGGTAGTTCGCTTCCCAATCGGCGTTCGTCACGTCGCTCTCGTGCCGACGCCGGCGTTGATCAACTCTGGATTCGAGGTTAGCCGTCATCTCGCACAGCAGCCGGAGAACGAGAATAGCATCCCGGGTGGATCGACCTCCTCGGGAACCAAATTGCGCATGAGATAACACACCAATCTCCTCGATGTACTGGTTAAGCCGCGTCCCACATATTCTGGCCAGTATGCGGCTGATCAACGCCAGGAGGCAAATACCTCTGTAAGAATCTGGCTTCTGTCCCCGTTATAACATAATGACAACGGCTCTTAACGCACTCTCCTCCCACTGTACATCAGCTGGCTCCTGCCACATGTGCAACAGCAACTCGAAAATGGCGTGTCTGGTGGTCGTGGGTGCTGCCCTGATCATGCCAATGGTAACCTCGTCATCCCCGCCCGCTGATTCTCGCATGTGCCGTACACATTCTGAGAATTCTTGGAAACTCGGTGGCTCAGCTAGCTCGGTTCGGGCAGGAAGCTGCGGCATCTCCTCCGTAAGATCACGAACTGGTACTTTAGGGCCCCCTCCAATCTTCAAGAAATGATCCCTCGCCTGGTTAGCTGTAATCGATGTGGCATCCTGCGTGGTCTCATCCTTCATCTTGAAACCGAGCTGCCGCATGCCGTGGTACATCTTCCCCGTGTCATGGTTGGTGACGGCCCACTCGATGTCCTTACACGTCTCGAGGATCGCCTCACTCCTGATCTTCCGCTCGTTCTGCTGGATCTGACGCTTCAGAGCCCGATGACGCTCCCGACATTCGAGTTCTTCAGGTGTCCCGCGAGCGGCAGTGAGACGGCCAACAGACGTACTGAGTGCTGCCCGTCCATCGAGTATTTCCCTCTGTCTCGCCGCGGTACAAGGCATTTGGCCGGCAGTGCGGCCCCGGCCGCAGGTAGCCTCGGCGGCTTCACGAATAGCACTGCTGATACCTGCCCAGCTTGACGCCGAACCATCCGTCATCGAAACTTTAACCCTCTCGGCGAAATTCCCCCGCAACGATTGCGCGTGCTCCGAAGGCCCACATGCTTGACCCCATCTGATTCTGCCCTGGGACGTGCGCTCGGTGCCAAAACCATCGGAAGTAGTGTCGCCACTGCGCTTGCCCCGGAACCACGCGGCGGTCTTGCCCAATATCTGGCGCGAGGCAAGCTTCCCACGATGATCGCAGACAGACGTAGTAAAGGTAACCAGTCGAGTCCATCGGCGGCGGGACGCATCGGAACCCTCCGTGACAAAAACGTCGTTCTCAAACCACTTCTTCCGTGCAGCATTCCACCAAGTACCTCTCTTCGTACATCCGAACGAGCGGTCAACAATGCATAATCCATTCTCTCGCAACCAGTCCACAAATTGCCATGCCTTCTGCGACGTGGGAGTCGCGAGACCGCACTTGCCCGCCAGGTCGTAGATGTCCGTCGCGTCCCTGCCGCAGTGGCTGTTAAAGTCTCCTCCACATCAAACCGAATCATGACGCGGTAGTGCCTGTAGTAGGGACGTGCCGTTGGCAAAGAACGTTTCACGTACACTCAACGAGTCCACAGCACTTTGAGTGGGGGCGTACCCGACGACAAGTGAATAAATCTTCCGTCGCGCCTTCAATCGAAGTCCAAGCCAGCGGTCGCAATCAGGTACCACGTGCACCTCCCCCCCTGCTAACCTCCACGCCTTAAGCGAAGCCCTGGACAGCACAATCGCAACGTGACCGTGCACAATAAAAAACATACTCCTCGATACACACAAAAGATGCCCCTGGCCCAACCCACGAAGGGGAATGGATTTCCGTCAAGAACGCCAAATCTGCCTTCATCTCGCGTAGGTAACACACGATCTGCAACATCTGCGGCCTCCTGAAGTTACTAGCCCAATTCATCTTCTGAACATTAAGGTTAACTAAACGCATAGCATCACCAATGGCACGACGATGAAACAGCCTATGCTGCCGTCGTGGACTCAATGCGCGGCGTCGGGGTATGGGTACCACCGCCAGCTCCTCAGGAGACTCATCGAAAGTACCCAACGCTTGCAGTGGCTTACGAGATCGGAGTGTCAGCGAGCCGCCACGAAACACGCCATTCACTCTGTGCACGTCCATCTTCGCACGCGGTATCACTGCGGCACTCTCTGCCGCCGCCACTGTCATAATCGTCTAGTAGCTGGTCCTCCGGTGGCGACGCTGCCCATCCCTCCACTGGCGGTGGTGCCGATCGGGATGACATTTTTGGCATCGAACATTTGTTGGCGGGGGCGTTGCTTCTGCGAGGAACCGGACACAGTGTTGACCTGCAGGACAAAGAAGAATATGCTCTGCCAATACGGAACGGCAGACCATCCATTCAGCCACCCAGCAAGGCGACCGTCACCTGGCACCTCCCGGCTGTGGTAGCCAAGCTGCCTGGCGACACTCTCCCTCTACCTCCTCCTCTTCCTCCTCCTCCTCCTCCTCCTCCTCCTCCTCCTCCTCCTCCTCCTCCTCATCGGCTGGCTGCATCTTGGGGTTGTAGGGAATCTGCGTGGCGCCCTCCTCCTCCGCCCCCTCCTCAGCCGCCTCCTCCTCCTCGGCCTCCGCCCCCTCCTCCTCGGCGGACCGCAGGCGCGGCCCCGCCTCCTCCTCCTCGGTCTCCCGAGGCTGCGGCGCAAGCTTCCCGCTTGAACTTGGCCAGGCGCATCTTCTGCGTTTGCCGCCCGCTGCGCTCACAGACGACCGGCTGGGAGTTGTCAGCTCCCGGGGCAATGGGCCCAAGCACGTGGAGGCCCTGGGAGTCCGCGACGGCATTGTGCTCCTGGCGCTTCCGCTCGGCGACGGCGTTGTGCCCAGCAGCCATCCTCTCAGCCGTCACCCTCTTGGCAGCGGCCACAGGTGGCGCCGGCGGTCCGTGCCGGACAGCTGCCGGCATGGTCGGCGCGGGGCCGCCTGCGTAGTCTGGCCGCCATTGGAGGTGAGCATGGCGCCTCTCTGCCTGTCCACGCTGCGCCGCGCGCAGCAGCACCTCATACGTGAAGGGCTGCACGAAGATGGCACGCGAGGTCACCCCCGGGCCCTGCTTGAAGCCGAGCGCCACGAGGGCGGTGACCCGAGAGACCACTGTGAGGTCCCCGAGCGCCCGTTGCCTGTTGCCCCCGCGTTGGCGCTGCTGCCTGGGCGTGGACAGCTGCCAGGTACGAGAGGCCACATCTGCAAACTTCTGGGCCCGCGCGGCCATGGCGCTGCCAGGCGGAGCTAGCTCCACGCCAGTGCTGAGCTCGAAATCCACGGCCAGCTCGGCCCATGTGGTGCCAACCTCGGAGGCGGCAGCGTCGAACCGGAGCTGGCCCAGGTACCAGCGCATGGCGTGGTATCTGTCGTGGCTCCCCATCATCCAATTCCCACTGTGGAGGGCCACAGGGGGCCCCAGGATGAGCTGGCGTGTGGCCCTGGCCTGGTGCTGCCAAGGGTACCGAGGGAAATCAGCCTGCTCGAGCGCCGCCGCCGCCAGTGCAGCGCCGGAAGGGGCCGGCTCGCCACTGGGTGGGTCAGCTGCTGCCAGGTCTTCGGGGCCCGGCCCACCTGGCGCGTCCTCCTCGCCCTCCTTGCGTGAGCTCCGGCACGGTCAGCGCGCGGTACTGCTGGGAGCCACGGGACGTGAGGGGCGCGAAGCCAGTCATGGAAAAGAGCAGGCGCGGGAAGGGTATCAGGTTCACAGCAATCTTGCGCAGGTCGCAGTTGAGCTGCCCCGGGAAGCGCAAGCAAGTTGTGACACCACTGATCGCTGCACTCACCAAATGGTTCAAATCCCCATACGTGGGTGTGGTTAGCTTCAGCGTACGGAAACATATGTCATAAAGGGCCTCGCTGTCAAGCAAGACGCATTCGTCGGCATTATCCAGACAATACCGCATTATATGGTTCCACGACTGTGTCGCTAACCTTTGGGGACGGAATGATACTGAACGTCTCCATGATCCTGTCGGGATATTCCTCTCTCACCTTGGAAATGAGCAACGTCCCCATGCCAGCTCCAGTGCCGCCTCCGAGTGAATGACACATTTGAAACCCTTGAAGGCAATCACATCCCTCTGCTTTCTTGCGGACCACATCCAACACGCTGTCGATCAATTCCGCACCCTCCGTATAATGACCTTTTGCCCAATTCTTACCTGCGCCAGTCTGACCAAATCCGCCACCGCACTTGCAGCGATTGGTGTGTCGGGCCTTTCTTGTTCGATACTGCTGCGTTTTGCGAACAAAACTATGCCCCCCCGACGCACCCAGCCAAACACGAAATCAGTTTGCTCTTCCAAGTCCCTGTGCCCATTGCCCTCCCAAAAGAAAGTTGCCCCAAAAACGGGAGTGGGGCTAGGCACGCAGCATGGATCCCCCGCCCCGTGGCGCCAGCCTGGCCGTCCCGCACGTCTCATACTTTCTCCGATGAACTGCTACTTACCCCAGAAGACTCACACAGCTCCTGGCGGCAACGGGGACTGCATCACCTTGCAGGGGTTACGTTTGCAAATGTTTCAAGCGGGATCGCCCTGCAAAGTTCTCGAAGTAAAACTGGCAGGCTTATGTCGAACCATTGGGCTTCGGGGGAAAAAAACGCACACAGGGGAATGTACGCGTCGGCGCGCGCACCATTGACATGTCGTTTAGCATGTGCGAGTTACGAAGGGTACGTTATACAGGCCATGTGTAGTCGCCGTTGGGATGGCACTAACAAGAAAATTGCACTCGGAGTAGACGTACGAGGAGCATCGAACTAGGTATGACAGTATAAGCAGGAATCGTCGCAATGGTAGTCGTAGTCGTCGAAGTCGAAGACATAGTCGTAGTCATGTTAATCGTAATGATCGTAGGAATCGTCGTCGTCGTCGAAGTAATCGTGCTATGTGGTAGCGATGGTAACTGTAGTCCTAGTAACGATCATGGTAATACTCGGAGTACTAATGGTGGCTCTCGTATTCGAAATCATCGTAGCAATGATATCCACAGTAGTACTAATAGAAAAAGATGAAGTAGAAGTGGTCGTAGCAGTAGCAACAAAGGTGTATATAAGTAAGTAGTAGCGGTAGTAGTCGTGGGATGTGAAAGTAGAAGTATGGATAATAATAGAAGTCGTAGTGGTAGTAGTACTAGTCGTAGAAGTGGCGACCAGAAAATTAGAACTAGTATTGGTCGTAGTCGTATGCATCGGAGTAGTAGGAGAAGTAATGATAATCGTCGACTTCGTCGCCGTCGTAGTGGTAGCAGTAGTGGTCGTCGTAGTGGTAGTCGTAGTCGTAGTAGTAGTAGTAATAGTAGCAGTAGTAGTAGTGTACGTGGGAGTAGACGTAGTAGTACTAATAATCAGGCTAGTGACTAAAACTATAAAACGCAATAGTAATAATAATATTAGTAGCTGTTGTCGTAGTAGTACCAGTAAACATAATAGTGGTAGTAGTAGCAGTAGTGGTAGTAGTAGTGGCGGCAGTAGTAATAATAGGAGCACCCGTCGTCGTCGAACTAGTCGTGCTATGTGGTAGCAATGGTAGACGTGGTCCTATTATTGGTCGTGGTAACACTCGGAGTACTAATGGTGGTCGTGGTATTCGTAATAATCGTATCAGTAATACCCACAATAGGAGTGAACGACGAAGAAGATGAAGAAGTTGTGTTCGCAGCAGTAGCAATGGTAATAGTACCAGTAGGTAGTAGTACTTAATAGCGGTAGTAGTAGTAGTAGTAGTAGTAGTAGTAGTAGTAGAAGTAGTAGTAGTAGTAGTAGTAGTAGTAGTAGTAGTAGTAGTAATAGTAGTAGTAGTAGTAGTAGTAGTAGTAGTAGTACTAGTAGTAGTAGTAGTGGTAGTGTCAGTAGCGGTGGAGTAGTATGAGTAGTAGTAGTAGTAGTAGTAGTAGTAGTAGTAGTAAAAGTAATAAAAGTAGTAGTAGTAGTAGCAACAGTAATCGTAAAAGTAGTAGTAGTAGTAGTAGTAGTAGTAGTAGTAGTAGTAGCCGTAGTAGTAGTAGTAGTAGTAGTAGTAGTAGTTGTTGTAGTAGTAGTAGTCGTAGTAGTAATAGTAGTAGTAGTAGTAGTAGTAAAAGTAGTAGTAGTCGTAGTAGTAGTAGTAGTAGTAGTAGTAGTAGTAAAACCTAAATGAAAAGTCAAGTAAAGCTAGTATTAATCGAAGTTGAAGGAATCGACGTAGTACTAGGAGTAGTAGTAGTAGTAGTAGTAGTAGTAGTAGTAGTAGTAGTAGTAGTAGTAATAGTAGTAGTAGTAGTAGTAGTAGTAGGTAGTCGTCGTTTTCGTCGTCGTCGCAATCGTAGATGCCATAATGATGGTAGTATCCGTACCCCGAGAGGCCCCCAAGGAATCCCAACCAACATCCACGGGATGGGCCGATGGCCATTAGATAACCCAACCTTTCCACATGCACCTTGTCATCCTCCTACGCCTCCTCCTCCGCCTCCTCCTCCCCGCATCATCGATTACCTCCTCCTCCACTCTCCTTTGACAATCATCTTGTCGCTTCGGCATCCGAATGGCACCACTGTGTCTCATACGCTTCAGCTTTGGGCAACACGTGTGGCGCAAACTGCGTGATTCGATAGGTGTGGTGCAGTATGTGTGTCGTGCCATGCCCTGCTTACCTTGCCGCTTCCCCAAGCGCGATGACGGATATGCGCGGCAACGGAACTGGATACGAAGTTGTCTGGACGGAAAAGCTGGCCAAAAGGTCCAGCACGGACGCTGTCCATGGTGCCTGGCTCCAAATCCATCAGCACGGCGCGCGGAACATAACGGCCCCCTGTGGCCTCATTGTAATAGACGTTGATGCGCTCGAGCTGGAGGTCGGAATCTCCATGATAAGTGCCTGTAGGATCTATACCGTGTTCACTCTGCTGGCCCGGCTAACTGGCACGAACACCACAGCCTTTGGGGATAAAGAAAAGCGGCATCGTCCCAACAGACACCCACCACCATCTCGCCCACGAGCTCAACCACGACAAACACAGAGGTATCCCAGGGGCGGTGTGTTGCCCCAGTGAAGGGGAGCATCCCACCATGCGTCGTAATCCAGCCACAAGAAAGGCGTGAGACTCCGCGGCCCACCGCCGGAACATCACAAAGCGTACTGGGCATGCATTGTCAAGGAAGATCAGCACAAGGTAAAACAGTACAAGGTAAAATCAGTGTTGCCCGGGACTGGCTGCCCGAGCTCACCTCTGACGCCGCTTGGACTTAGCCTGCGGCGTCCCGCGATGGGATTCGTCATGGCACCGTTGGCACCGCCCTCCCGCTTTACAGCCACCTTTCGAGAAGTAGCGGATGCAGACCACCTCGCAGGGGCAGGCAGGCATGTCGGTGTCGGGCGGGGCGGTAGACGAGCAGGCCTCGGAAGGCTTCGCAGCGGCAGGCTGGGAAGCTGAGCCGGCACCTGGGCCTCCTGAGCTAGACGCGGCTGCGCCTGCAATGGGGCTCTCGTCCAAGTAGTCCAAGGCCTCCGCCTCGTCCACGGACTCGCCCTCCTCTTCCTCCTCCTCGGCCTTGCCGCACCAGCGATCAGCCATGACCGATTCCGCCTCGAGGATGTCGTGCTCGCGCTCCGCGGCGGAATCCACCTGGGGCCACGGCTGGAGATGCGTCCAGCGTTCCGGCCTGTACCCGTAGAGCTCATCCATGTCGAAAGCAGCAAGAGTCTCGGGCGTGGGGCCATAGTCGAACCAGACGACGTCGACGGGATCCAAGGCGATGGCCTCGGGCTCGTAGTCATCGTCCTTGGGGTGAGTACGTGAATCATCACGGCGGACCTCGACCGCGACCCTGCCGTTAGGCGCGTGGCCGGCCACCCACCCAAGCCGCCCATTGAGGGCCCGGCCTCTCTGGCTCGTGAGCCCGACTATTTCCACGAACTCGCCAATCAGCCTCCCGCATTCCAGGCGAGCCCTCCCGTTCATATCACCGCCGATCAGGCCGTTGCTGCCGACAAAATGCGAGAAAAACTGAAAGACTGCATCCGGCTGAGTGCCATTCCCCATCAATGCATGAATGAGGTGATTGTGCTGAGAATGCGTCAGGCGCGTAACACAAAAGAAAATCCAATCCCCGATGAGGCGTAAAGCCGCGGTGAGAGATGCCGCGAAGGCGATCGCTAACATGACGGTGCACGTCGAAGCGTATTCAGCATCAAGTGCGACGAGAGCCCGCCTCACCACCAGCGATCTATACCGTGTTCATCAGAAATTACTTCCCAGAACTTTGCCTGCGAACCCCAAGAATATACACCACCACATCGATTCCTCCTCCCTCATCTACCCCCATTTTGCTCTCATCTTTCCTGGTAGTGGGAGGGGGTGGGGGAATTGGTGGTGGTGTATATGTTTGGGCCCCGTATTGCCCCGATCTGGTTGCCGCACTGGCCGCCCTGGATGTGCACCAACTCGCGCATGGCTGCTTATCGGAGGACGCTGATTTCCGATTGTTCGGGTGACTTCAGGCGTAGAACACTCGCTCTGGCCAAAATGAATACAGACACATAATTGGCAGTAGAACGAATAATGATACCGGGTTCACAAAGATAATGCCACCGCATGGGAAAAACATGGATCATGCGCAACCCACAGGGCACAATACGGGGTGCCGTCGGCGCAATGCACTTCATTCGGTAGAGCTGACGGCGACAGTTCCAACGATCGAACAAACATCCCACCCACCCACCAGCAACTTGTTGGTAAAACTCCACAGAGCGTGGGCGATGCTATTCATCAGGACTGGCTCACCAATCTCAACAAACGCAAGAACATCCAGACCCTGCTCATGAAGATCCGTGACTCAGGCGGGCAACGGCCTATGGTGACGACGACACCGGCGACGAAGACGATGCTGATGATGGTGATGGTGGTAGCGAACATGACGAACGGGACAACAACGACAATGAGCAGGACGATGAAACATATTTTGCTTTGATGATCACGGCGATGACCACTGACGTCGTCCAGCTCTTAACGATGATGATGACAACTGGGATGATGCAGATGGTGAGAGCGTGCGGGCGGATTGAAATTTTAAATGCCTAGCATGCTTGCAACTGAAGACCGCGGAATGCTCAGATCCTGTTGCAGAACTTACTCGATCCCAAGCCCCCTTATCAAACAAAAACTAGTTTTGGACGGAAATCGGCGCGCGCGCGCGGAGACGCGCGCGCGTGGCCCGCATGGGATTTAACAGGGTTGGCGGGTGCGCGATGGCATGCAAACGCGTTCAACAATCGCTCGCACGTGGCCAGCAAAATCCAATTCGCCAGAATGGAAAATGATCCCCTTCACATGTCAACGAGCGCGAGCAGAAATATGTCAGAGTTCTTTCGTGTCCATAGCGAATGGCACGTTTTAGAATTCGGTGAAATTGTTGTTGTCTGTTCTTCTGGGCGTTAGAAAAGATTCGGCACGCGGGCGCGGCGGCGCGCGCACGGGGCCATCATTGCATGCGCTGCGAGGGGTCCTTCGAAAAACGACTTATTATATCAACGCACGCGCGCCACCTCATTTTTCGAGGGTGCCGGTAGTGGGTCTGGCCGGCATAAAAGAAGCGTGTTCCAACGTTGCCAACTGAAGGCGTGTCGCATACCAACAAGTCATCCGCCAACGTGCCTTCAGCGCGCAATGGAGTACCCCAAGGCTCACGCAGTTCTGAAACGTCATGCGATCCTGAAAGGTTCGAAAAGTTGTAAAGGGCCCAGACCACGAAACTCCCAGGGGCTCTTGGGCACGGCAAGGCGCTCTGAAAATGTTCCGCGCTGGCATCTGGGACGGGGCCCCAACCGAGGGAGGCCCCAAAAACAAACCAAGACAGCCCTGAGAAGGCCCCAGGAGGATCCAAAAAGTCTCCGAACGAACGAACGAAGCTGCCGTCGCCGGGGCGCTGGCGCCCCTGCACAGGCGGGCAAGCGCGCCAGTCGCGCGCACGCCTTTTAAGAAGGCCACTGGATGCGCGCCCGCGTCAAAATCGCATGAAACACGCAACGTTCGCACGAGAAGTCGCGCGGTCATCGCCATGCGCGCTGACAAAAAATCCCGCCCTCGCCGGCCTGACATTCTCGCACGAGGCCTCGCGCGCCCACGAGTCTCAGCCGGCATGTTTTTTATGTCGCGCCAACTCGTCTTCCCGCGTGCTGAAGCAGCCAAACCGGGAGCGACTGGGGCATCCGAGTAATCCCTTTGACTGTTCGCCCCATCAGGCATGACCCCTCCATTGAATCACTTTCGTGGCCCATTATGCATCTGGCAGATTGATGATAGCCCCTGCCACTTTCACTTTGACCCAACATGAAACGCCAACGTTGCAACTGACCGGCGGGCGCTCGTCCAAATAACTGCACCTTCTTGTTTGGGGGGGTAAATTCCCCGGGGCACTGCGCACTGCCTTTGTCCGCGTTCATGCGCAAACCAAGTTCAGCGATTGTTTGCAAGCTCATCGCGCGTAGAAGCGAACGCGTTTGCTCAAGCTTGCTTTGATCTGGCCACAAACGTGGTGTCACCAAGGAACGCAGCATAAGCCACCTGGTTCTTCTCCCGAAAGTCGTTGCCAATGATGCTGCCACGCCATACATCCCCCCCACGATTCTTTAATACGCACCATCGCGTTCCTGACTGTATTCGCGAATAATGCCGGTGACATCGGATATCCTTGCCGAGCGCCACGAAGAATGTCAAAACACGTGCTTCGCGTATCGGGGCCAAGCTGAGTATACGCCCGCTGGCCCTTGTACAAACCCTGAACGGCCCACATATCGTTCTCGCTGGTTCCGGCTGTCTGCAGACACGCAAGCGCACCTGCTTGCATGATCCTGTCAAATGCTTGTCCCAAATCTGTTGAAGCCACCAAAACAGTCCAAACCCATTCAATGCTCTTCTCGCTGATCGTGCGCACGCAAATAACTAAATCGCAACACCCATAACCCGTGCGAAATCAAACTTCTTCTGGCGTCCGGAATCTATCCTAGATACGATCCATTCGTCTCAAAATCACGCTGCTGCACAACTTCTTCCAAACATAGGATGATCGTGATGGGCCTGTAGTTATATGATGGGAGGGTCGTCTCGCCTTGTTCGAAGAAAATAACAATCTTGGAGGTGAGCCACGAGTCCGGGGCCCGGGACACGCCGTTGAGCAGGTCGACAAAAACCTCTGCGATGGCATTCATCATGTCGTTCCCGCCCTCCTTCAACATCTCGGCCACCAAACCGGCTGCAGCGTTAGCCTTGTTCTGCTGCTGCCTGTACTTCTGCTGCCGATATCTGACTGCTTGGTCTGGTCACCCCGGCGCCTTCCAGCTGAGCGCCATACAAAGACTTGCACCACGTCGCGAAATCTGCAGCTATGTCTTCCCTTCTAGATTGCACTTTTCTTTCCGGACCTCGGATGTTGGCTATGCGGGTTCCTGCTTTCGGCTGGTTTTGGAGCCCAGGTAGTTTCTTTGCTGCCCTTTTGAGGATCAACTCGTCAAGCTGCTCGTTATGCCTCTCCCGCATTTGGTCGCGGAGCGCTCTGTTCAGGCGAAGTGACTTACGTGTCCTTACTTCTTTGTTAGGGCATTTGCTCCTCTCTTTCCGTAGCTGTCTGATGAACTCGGGCGTCTCCTCGTTCTTCCTGCCCCCTTCCGTACCTCGCCGCATTCTGAAGCAGCCTTCAAAAGCGCCTCTGTCACTGAAGCAGCCTGGGGTACCTCGCGCAAGGCAGTCGCTTGTGCCACATGGCGTTCTTCTATGTATGCTGTCATATCCCATCCTCGCCTTCGGAGGCTTCCGTCGCCGCCACTTTTGCGCGTACTGCCACAGTTTGCCGAAACTGCCATGTGATCCAACTTTCGCAGCATCGGCAAGCACAGCTGTATTGTGCAACTCTGTTTTGAGGCTGTGGTCGGCTTACACATCATAGAGTTGTCGCGTGCCTCCTGTACTCCATAATATATGTTTCCATCTGTCTTCCGACATGTGTTGAAACACAGCGTCGATGATGGTAAGCTTACGTTGGGTTGCCCACGCCAGAAATTGATTCCCTCTGTCCGTCCTCGCGCCCAGGCCGAATTTGCCGATGCAAAGGGGAGCGTCTTCGTCAGGCTGCTGACCCGCTTCAGCATTAGCGTCCGCTCTGCTGGGTTGCTGGGGATCACCTGCCCCTGCTTTCGGTTGCTGGGGATCACCTGCCGTATGACTTCTAATGTTCACTCGTACTCTATGTCTGAGCGGCCTGCGTGCGGCAGATGCGCCGAAACCGCGCTCCACTTGCACTTCTTTCTCGCAATGTCTGCATATGCTACCCTTCCGTCTGAAGAGGCCTCCGAGGCGGCCCCAAAGCTTCAAACGACGCCCACGATAGCCCCAAGACGGTCGAGGAAGCCTTCGTGACGCCCCAAGAGAGCCCCAAGTCAAGAGGCTTCCCAACAGGGCTCCGAGGGGCCAAGATCATTGATTTACATTCGGTTGTTTAATGTTTTGGGGGCTTTCAACTGTTCGAGCTTTCGACGCTCCCAGACGTCCGAAGAGGCCCCCAAGACCGACCACAGACGGCCGAATAATCCCACAAGACCGCCCGAAGACGGCCCAAGAGTGCCCCAAGACGGCCCAAGAGGCGCCCAAGACTGCTCAAGAGGGCCCCAAGAGGGGCCCAAGAGGGGGAACACAAACCGAAAATCCTAGCCTTCCGCTCCAAGAGGCACCCACGAGAGGCCCCAAGAGGCGCCCAAGAGGCCCCAGGCGGCCCCCAGGAGGCCCCAAGCGGCCCAAAAGATACCCCAAGCGGCCCCAAAACAGTCCCCTAGAGGCATCAAAACTGTCTTCAGGAGGCCCCCGAGGGGGCCCGACGAGATCCCAGTGAACATCCAAGAGGACTCAGACACACAACCCAGGCGCGGTGGCGGGATGGGCCGAAGGGGGGATTGCCCAGGAGCTCAATCCCGGAAACAACCCTCCAAGACGGATCAAGATGGCCTCCAAGATGCCCACGTTGGCCCAAGATGGCCTCCAAGATTGCCTCCAAGTCCGCCCAAGATGGTCCAAGACGGCCTCCCAGACGGCCCCAGAGAGTCCAAGATACCTCCAAGGTCGCCCGAGAAGCCTCCAAGATGGCCCAAGACGACCCAAGAGGCCTCCGAGGTGTC